GTGATATAGCAACATCTGGGTGGCTCCATCGGTTAAGTGTCTGCCTTCAGCTCGGGTCGTGATCCTGGGGTCCTCGGATCAAGTCCCACCTCGGGCTCCTTGCTCAGCAGGGAGTCTGCTTTTCCCTCTGCCTGCTGCTCCCTCTGCTTGTGCTCACTCTCTCTCACATGCGTGCTCTCTCTCTCTGACAAATAAATAAATGAGATCTTAAAAAAAAAAGATGTGGTATATATACACAATGGAATATTACTCAGACATCAAAAGGAATGAAATCTGGCCATTTACAATGACGTGGACGGAACTAGAAGGTATTACGCTAAGCAAAATAAGTCAGTCAGAGAAAGACAAGTATCATATGATTTTATTCATATGTGGAATTTAAGAAACAAAACAGATGAACAAAGGGCAAAGGAAGGAAAAATAAAATAAGATGAAAACAGAGAGGGAGACAAACCACAAGAGACTCTTAACTGTAGGGAACAACGGAGGGTGGCTGGAGGGGAGGTGGGGGGGATGGGGTAACTGGGGGATGGGCATGAGGGAGGGCACTTGGTGGAATGAGCACTGGATGTTGTATGCAACTGATGAACCACTAGATTCTACCTCTGAAACTAATAATATACTATATGTTAATTAAGTTTACTTTAAATTTAAAAAATTTTTTATATAAATAAATGCTGATTAGCCCCCTCCCAAAATAAACAAACACCAGGGCGGGGCTTTTTTTTTTAACTTGTAGTCAAAAAACAATAGAATATTTACCATTATAACCATTTTTAAATGAACGATTCAGTGGCAATAAGAACATTCACATTGTGGTACAACCCTCACCTCTATGCATCTGCAGAACTTTCTCATCTTCCCCAGCTGAGACTCTGTACCCATTAAACAGTAATTCCCAATTCCTCCTTCCCCCAGCTCCTGGAAACCACTATTCCTCTGTCTCTATGTATTAAACTATTCTAGGCCCCTCATATAAGTGGAGTCGTATAATATTTGTCCTTTGGCTTATTTCACATAGCAGAATGTGCTCAAAGTTCATCTGTGTTGTAGCAGGTGTCAGAATTTCCTTCCTTTCTAAGGCTGAATAATATTCCATTGTATGCCCATAACACATTTAGTTTATCCATTCATCTGTCACTGGGTACATGGGTTGCTTCTACCTTTTGGCCATTGCGAATGATGCTGCTGTGAATATGGGTGCACAAGTATCTGTTTGAGTCTCTTTCAGTTCCTTGGGGTCTCCTTGTTTCTGGGATATATACCCAGAAATGGAACTGCTGGATCATATGGTAATTTTATTTTTCATTTTTTGAGGCACTGCCATACTGTTTTCCAAAGTGGCTGCACCATTTTACATTCCCACTAACAGTGCACAAGGGTTCCAACTTCTCCACGTCCTTGCCAACACTTGGGGTTTTCTATTTTTTAAATAGTAGCCATCCAAATGGATGTGATACCAGCTTTTGTTTATTCATTTTTAATTTATTTTTTAAAAATTTTCATTTATTTGAGGAGGGAAGGGGCAGAGGGAGAGGGAGAGAGAGAATCCCAAGCCATCTCCACACTGAGCCCGACTCAGGGCTTGATGCTGGGCTTGATCTCACAACCCCAAGATCACAACCTGAGCCAAAATCAAAAGTCAGACACTTAACTCAGCCACCCAGGTACCCCGAAACCAAGTTGTTTTTACAGGATGATTTCTCCTCAGTCTTGCTGTGGATAGATTTCCTTAGTAACCTGGAGAGGGAAAAGGAAGACTTCACCTTGACAAAAGTAAACCTTGAGAGATGAAATCATTAATATTGACACAAACAAACACACAAGGGACACCTGGGTGGCTCAGTCAGTTAAGCATCTGCCTTTGGCTCAGGTCATGATCCCAGGGTCCTGGGATCTAGTCCCGCATCGGGCTCCTTGCTCAGCAGGGAGCCTGCTTCTCCCTCTGCCCTTCGGCTCCCCCTGCTTGTGCACGCTTTCTCTCTCTCTCTCTGACAAATAAATAAAATCTTTTAAAATATTTTTTAAAAGAGAGAGAGTATAACTACTGGGCTATGGAAAAAAAATTAAAACAAAACAAAACAAAAAAACACACAAACAAAACACAAATGCCCAGAGGATCATAGGGGAAGGGAGGGAAAAATGAAACAAGATGAAACCAGAGAGGGAGACAAAGAATAAGAGACTCTTAATCTCAGGAAACAACCTGAGGGTTGCTGGAGTGGAGGGGGGTGGGAGGGATGGGGTGGCTGGGTGATGGACATTAGGGAGGGTATGTTCTATGGTGAGCGCTGTGAATTGTATAAGACTGATGAATCACAGACCTGTACCCCCAAAACAAATACATTATATGTTAATTTAAAAAAATGTTTTTAAAAGAAAAAAAGGCAAATGCCCATTATTTTAGTGCTGATTGAGAATTCTGCTCAATATATGGGATCATCGAGCTCTTGAAAAGATGTGAAAAAAATCTTATTTTGATGTTTTGCATTTTGCAGTATTTTAACTAAGACATTTTCATTTCATTTATATTCTTTTGTGTGTTTTTTTCTCTTTTACTCCTTGAAAACTTGATTAAAACCTCAAACAAACATATGCATAGAGCTACCAGCACTCCCATCCTGGATACCAGGTAGCTTCAGCCTTTGCAGGCCTATATAAGAAAATACTTACTAGGGGTACCTGGGTCAGTGTGATGGTTAAGCATCTACCTTTGGCTTGGGTCATGATCCCCGGGTCCTGGGATCGAGCCCCACATCGGGCTGCTGGCTCAGCAGGGAGCCTGCTTCACCCTTTCCCTCTGCCTCTCCCCCCTGCTCATGCTCTCTCTCTCTGTATCTGTGTCTCAAATGAATAAATTAAAAAATCTTAAGGAAAAAAAAGAAAGAAAATACTTGCTACACAACCTTGTCAACTCCCAGGGGGATCTTTCGCAGGGAGCAGAGGAAGCTCTGACTCTGAAGGTGTGATCACAAGTAAAAGATCTCCCTAGGAGCTGACGCAAGCAGAGTGACACAAATCCCCATGGAAAAGAGAGGTCAGTGTGGGCTGCAGCTTCTTGCCACCTCTCCTTAATTTTGGTCACACCCTTTATACCTGCCATGCCATCATTTCCTTTATTTTTTTTATTTTTTAAATGTATTTATTAAAGATTTTATTGGGGCACCTGGGTGGCTCAGTCGTTAAGGGGCTGCCTTCGGCTCAGGTCATGATCCCAGGGTCCTGGGATCGAGCCCTGCATCGGGCTCCCTGCTTGGCAAGAAGCCTGCTTCTCCACCTCCCACTCCCCCTGCTTGTGTTCCCTCTCTTGCTGTGTCTCTATCTGTCAAATAAATAAATAAATGAGAGAGAGAGAACACAAGCAGGCAGAGAGGCAGGCAGAGGGAGAGGGAAAAGCAGGCTTCCCACTGAGCATCATGACCTGAGCCAAAGGCACTTAACCCACTGAGCCACCGAGGCGCCCCATATTCCTTAAATGTATGATCTTCTCAGCTGAATTTATAACTAATTGAACCCCAAAGGAACCCAATTACTCCAAGTGAATCCACATTTTAAATTTCCCAGAATACTCTTAATTTCAAACATTTTATCCTATATATCAGAAATATGCTCTTATTTGTTAGACTATGTAAATTTCAATCACCTATGCTTAATATAACATGGTATGCTTCAGATTTCTGTCCTCGGCTGTATCTTGTTTATTCTTCAGTGATGATTTGGAGGCTTACAAAATTTACATAAGTAAGAGGTGGCAGACAGGCAACGTCTGTCCCACAGATACCTTTCCTCTGGCCCACATGCTGTTTTTAAATTTTTAAATTTACTTTAAAACACTAAAAATTCAGGAATTTTTACACAAAAATCAAAATTTCTGGAGTCTGTTAAAAATATATAGATGACAACACTGGACCCATATTTGTTGTCAGTTGCTATTTACCATTATATTTGTGTGGTTGTTTTTCTCACTGTGGAAAAAAAAGTAAAATAACAATAAAAAAAAAATTCCCTCTATTATCCAGCCCACTACATTTACAAGTTTCCTGCCTGACCCCAACTGTCAACTTGAGTTTGTGCCCCAGTTCTGGGATGTTCAAGAAAGTACAGGGACTACACTGGTTGATGAAATCAGACTTCCTGGGCTTGAGTGCAGACTTCCACCACTTAGCCTCTCTTTGCCTTGGCTGCCTCCTCTGTAAAACCGGGACAGTAACGGTGTTCACCAACCTCACAGGACTGAGTTACTAAATGTAAAGTATTTAAGACAGTGCCTACAGTTTTAGAAAAATAAAATGGCCCAGGAACCCAGGGGCCATGTCTATCTTATTTACCGTTGAATCCCAGTGGCCAGCACAGAACCTGGAACAAAAAAGGCAGCAATACATACTTTTTATCAAAAAAAGTGAGGTGTGAGGAATCCTAACAATCTAGCGATATTTAGAGGAAGGAGATGACAGACATGTTCTCCTCTCTACAGGAGGACAGAACAATGTTACGTGAAGTACAGTTTAAACAATCAGGGATGCGGAACCCTATCAGACTGGGGAGGGGGGGTAGGGGCGCGATACGATCCTCAGATCTTTTGAAAGGCTGTCCTGGGGAACAGGGTGTATGTTCCTTACAGCCTTACTGGGAAAAATCAGGACGAGGGAATGCCCATCCAAGAAGAAAACCTGGCTTTCCCCCCCCCCCCCCCACAATCCCACGACGTGCAGTGAAGACAGCATGGTGAGGCCCCAGATGCGCAAGCGCCGCACGATGGCGAGGCGGAGTCGCCGAAGCAAGAATTCTGCTGTAGCGGTGTAGATTAAGGCGTCGTCTGATTGGTGAGAGTTTGGCGGGAACAGAAGGATGCCAAACAAAGGAAGTGCTGTAAAATGTCGCTCACTGACGGGGGTGGGATTATGCGACCGAGATTCGGAATTATCCATTTTGATTGGTTGTTTTCTTGAGACACGCCCTATCAGCCTCTCGCCGCTCCTTGCTTCCGCTTGCGCAGCTTGTTTTCCCTTAGTAAAAATGGCCGCAGAGGCTCCCGGCCCCCTCGGAAGCGGAGTGCGCGTTTTCATAAGCATGGCCAGAGAAGACAGGAAAAAGCGTAGAGTTCGTGAGCATTGACTGGCTGAGGCAAGAAGCGTTCTGGACGCTGACTGGTTCCGCCGTTCGCGGGAAGGAGTTTGTGGCACCAGCGGGAAGTGGATTTAACACTGCGGCCGCAGCAGGGTTCTGAGGAGTTCGACGAACCCACCAGACTGGCGTCTTCTGGACTTCTTTCCTGAGGGAGTCGGGACCAAGATGTGGTTTAGTAAGGATGAGAGTTGCAAGGAGGATTTAGCAGGAGGGCCGGGGTCGGAGACGCGTGTGACGGTGCGAGTGGGGGAGGGAAGGGGCGGCGAAGCGGCGGGGGCCGGGGCAAGGTGGTGGGGAAGATTAGGGCGATGCTGGGAGTGGTTGGCCGTGGGGTGAAGTCTGAGGGGGCCTGTGGGTTGTTCAGAAGCTTGGAAGGCAGCACAGGCATTGATACTGTTGTTTAAAACCAGGTGGATCTGAGAGCTACAGCAGCTCCTCCTTTGGCGGAGCGAGCAGCTACACGCAGTCCCCCGGGGGCTTTGGATCGCCGACGCCTTCGCAGGTTGAAAAGAAATCAGTAGGTTGAAAGAGTATTTCGTTTTATTTCTTTCTGTCCTGAAGTTCCTAACTCGTCCCTGAGAGAAAATTTATGCGGCGAAAGATCGTCAAACACGAATTGATTGGATAATTACCAATTATTGCCTTACCGAATCTTAGAATTAAGTGCTGTAAGTTTAAAAAATGAAATTTCTCCTACTTTAACTTCTACCGTTGAATTGGCTTTATTTTGAAATTTGCCAATATAGCTAATGAATCAGTCTTATGGGAAAACTGGACTATGTTACTAGAGTATTTGCATTCTTCATGTATTCGAAAAATTTTTTTTTAATTAAATGTAATGAGGTGATAAAAAGCGGTGGAAAGAGCATGGTCTTCGAAGTCCGGTAGATCGATGTTCTACCATTGCTCTGACACAGGGTTTCATTGGACAAATTTCTTAACATCGGGAATCAAATGGGATTACTACTAAATGGGATTAATAATGCATACCTTACAAGGCTGTTGTGAGACTTAATATTGTAATATATAGTATATATAAAGTGCGCACCCTGTAGTCACTTTCAATAAATGGTCCCAGATTTTTTTAAGTTTTTATTTAAGTAATCTCTACACCCAACGTGGGGCTCGAACTCAGAACCCTGATATCAAGTCACATGCTCCTCTGACTGAGCCAGCCAAACACCCCTGGTCCCAGATATTTTTGTTAAAAAGAACATGAGTGTTGGAGCCAGGATAGATAGTGTCTGGAATCAACTTTTAAGTGGCAGTATCTTTAGTACAGCAACTTGAACCTTGTGGCACTTGGTTTTTCTCATCTGATAATGGTACCATACTACTTATATCACTGGTTCTGAGAATTGATAAATAAGGTAATGTAATGTATAGGAAGTGATCTGTTAAAAGCTGTCCAAATGCTTGTTATTCACTCTTTCAGAAAAGAGTTTGCATTTAACAACTGCTATTGATTGCATCCTTTAAATACAAGGTTGATTTGGCTACTCATTAGGTGTCATTCAGATGTGGTGTTAAGATTCAGTATTAGCAGGTTCTGTTTTTTTTTGTACAGGTTGATTAGCTTTTACCTAAACTGTTAATTCACGGGTGTGTGTCGGGGGAAAGAATTCATTGATAATTCCCATATATTTGGACATTGCTTTATATTTTTCATACAAATTATTTCATATAATCCCATAAGGTATTTATTGTTTACTCCATTGTACAACAGAGGGTCTGGGAGGTGAAGAGACTGCCTAAGCTTCTATAGCTAGTAAGTAAGTGGAACTAGATAGTGCATACAGGATGCTGAGCAAATCCAAAATCTGGTGAGCAGCTTCTCTTTTGCAGTTTCCTTTTTCCCAGGAAGACCAGGGGGGACTCGAGTACTCTTTGTCTTCCTTGAGGTTGTGAAGGAGAAAACAAAAGATCATTGGTTTTCGTCTTTTCTAAGCTTAACCGTTTTCTTCATTCCAGTCAATAGAATTTTTCTCTCAGGATCCTTAGCTTGGGCACCGTATTAAGACAGCTTTGCAGAGAGTGATTATGGTTGTAAGCTAGAGACTCAACCCAGATCTTTTTGTTCTTAAATCTAGTGCCTTTTCCACAGTAAATTAGATAAACACCCTATCTAAACTGTTTCTTTTCTACTGTAAACCTGTTACATTTTATTGAACCATGGGAAATTTTCAGTAGTGACTACTTTTTACCCATAAAAATGGTGGTTTCATACAGTAGTGTCAGAGTAACCTGTGATTCATAGCTAGAAAAGAATTTTTAAAAATTAAATATACTTATGCTAGCCCACTTTCTGAATCTCTTTGGAACAAACCAGGAACTCCTTGTAATAATAATAGGTGCTTAAAAAACAAGAAATACCTGTGATTTGAGATGAATTTGAAAGTATTGCTAACACCTCAGTCATTACCCATATGTAACTTTTTTTTTTTTACCTGAGGAGTAATAGTATTTGTTGAATACATACTACATGTAGAAACCAGCATTAGCACTTTTATATACATTATATGTTTTGTTTACAATCTGGAAGGTGGATATTCTCATTTGACAGAAGAGGTAGTGGCATGTCCAGGGCTATGGAGCTGGGATTGAACACAGGTCTATAGGACTGTGAGGCACCAAAGCCCATGTTCTTGTTCCTGTTCGGTTCTTAGTTTTCTTACGCTGAAAATAAAATGAAAAGCTCACCAGTGATGGGTAGAAACAGAATATATCGTAGTGAGAGCTAAAACATGGGACCTCAGCAAATTTTAAATCTATTAATACCAGTGTTGCATGTAACTTCACCTGTACGATTCCATAAGGTAGAATTGAAAAGCATTGTTGATTTCCTCACATCCTTAGTAAAAGCCATTACAGATCTAAACGGTGAGGAACACCAGTTGACCAAATAACATTTGCTAACATTCTTTGAGTGCTTACGATGTGCCAGGTATTATTCTAGGTACTTCACCATATACTTAATTTTCATGATTTTATCATTCCTAGTTTTACAGATAAGAAAACTAAGATAGAAATGAGTTGAAAAACATGACCAAGAACACACTGCTCCTGAGTGATAGAGCCATATCTTAACCTCAAGCTTCACTGCTGCCTTTTGTGATGTGTGCTGGTAGTTGGCAGTGCTTACTTTTTACCATCCTGGCAATACTCACCATTCAGAATGAGGTTTCAGCAGAAGGAAATGTTGCAAGTATCATAGACCTTCAGGACAAAGCTGAAACTGCTCAATCCATGAGTGCCAAGAGTCTATTATGTCTTACATGTAGATAGCTATTAGGTGTTGATTTCTGACAAGAAGAACTCTAATCTTTAATCCACCATGCATTTTCTTCTGTGTACTTATTTCCTAAATGAGCTTGTGAGAGTGCGTATTTACCCTTAGCCTGAAATACCCATCCCGTATTGTATTTTTACTGTTGATGTTTTCATACTTCAGGGTAGAGCCTGAATGCTAACTCTTGAAAGTGCCAGTACGTTTTTCTGGGATCCCACGTAGTGCACCTCATTCTATAGTATATCAAGACTGGTTTGTTATTTACATTTGTGCCTCCATTAGGTGGGAGTGTGTTGAGAGTAAATCCTATTCCATTTTTCTCATCTTTATGCCATGAGACAAGCCCTGGCCAGTGGTAGGTGACAATAAGAGTTTACAGTGTTGTTAGGCTGCTTTTGAATGGGATTTCAGTGTCCTCATTAGACATTCTTCTACCCAACATGTCGTGTCCTTTCCCTTTAAGATGTCCAGTGTGGCCAAGCCCTTATCCCATTTTCCCCAGGACTTGCATCCGATTGTCAGAGCATCTGTCCTTAAGAAAGCTATACCTCGAACTTTGTTATATTTTATCATGAGACTTAGAACAACTCCAGAGTTCTGTCTCTACTGGCCATTTCTCAAACCCTTTCCAGATACCATCTCATGTCATTGGTGAACTAAACAAACAGCCAGCTCTGGCTTGCCTTTGTCCTAAAACTGGAGTATAAGTTTTGTCCCAGAAGCAGGTCATCCTTCCTTATGTTGTCCCCACTCTGGCCTGCTCATTTTAGTGAAACCATAGTGCTACACAAACTTACCTGTTGATCAGGAGCTTTGGAGTCAGACACACCTAGTCTGAATTCTAAAGTGTGGTATTGGTTAGCTATATGATCTTGGTTTCCATCTCTGTGAAGCAAGGGTGATGAGATTCAGTCTGAAGATTCAATGTTATGATGTATGTAAAGTGCTTGGCACATGAAAGGTGTTAATGGGTGGTAATTATTATTTTCTTAATTGAATTTATACATTTTCTTTTCAGAGGGCCCGAGCCCAGCACATTGTACCCTGTACCATATCTCAGCTGCTTTCTGCCACTCTAGTTGATGAAATGTTCAAAATTGGGAATGTTGAGATTTCACAGGTAAGTAAAATAGTTTGTGGAAGAGTCCCTTCATCTTGTGAAGAATGAAATAAAAATTGTTTATTTAAAAATACATAAATGTTGTTTTAGTTTCCAGGAAAACCAAAATTTTCTTTCCTCCTGATCTAGGTCACTATTGTGGGTATAATCAGACATGCAGAAAAGGCCCCAACCAACATTGTGTACAAAATAGATGACATGACAGCTGCGCCCATGGATGTTCGCCAGTGGGTTGACACAGATGTAAGCAGTTATTTTTGAATTAGGGTGGGGTTATTTTGGGACTCTGGAGATGTTGGACTTTTTTAGTCTTTTCAATTTCTTAGTATAAGAATAATTTATAAGCAAGACATCAAAGGCAGAAACCCTAAAATGAAAGGTTAATACATTTGAATTCATAAAAATTAAAAATGTTCCAAACTTCACTATAGTATAAGCAAAGTTAAAAGGCAAGTGACAGGAGACATTAGAATGTGAACTCTGTGGAAGCAGGGTTGTTTTTTTTTTTGTTTTTTGTTTTTTGTTTTTTTTTTTTAAGGAGAAGGAAGGGGTGGTGGGACAGAGGCAGAGGGAGAGCGAGAATCTTAAGCAGGCTCCACGCAGGGCTCGATTTCACAACCCTGTGATCGTGACCTGAGCATAAATCAAGAGTGAGACACTTAACCGACTGAGCCACCCAGGCGCCCTGCCATTTTTAATTTATTAAATAAGCATAGGAGAAAAAAGAATGACAGTGTCCACTTCTGGTAAAGAGTAGTAGCTAACACAGTGCCTCTAGCACTTAATAGGCACTTAACTAAATACTTGTTGAATGATTTGTCATTGTTAGTCAAGGGAAATGGATGCCATCCTACCTTGATGGTTTGAGTATAAATTGGTATAACCTACCTCAAAAATCAGCTGGTGATCAAAATCATCTATCATAAAAATGTTGATCTAGCACTTCTCTGCTAGAGGTTTACATTAAGGAAATAATTAAAGATGTACACAGAGATTCAGTTGTAAGAGTGTTGGTCATAGCATTGTCTATAATAATGAAAAAAAACAGTTTCAGGGGCACTTAGGTGGCTCAGTTGGTTAAGTGTCAGACTCTTGGTTTAGGCTCAGGTCGTGATCTCATGGTTGTGAGACTGGTCCCTGACCTGAGTTGTGCTTTGCACTCAGTGGGGAGTCTGCTTCCCTCTGCCTTTGCCCCTGCCCCATTTGCATGCACTCTCTCTCAAATCTTTTTTTTTTTTTAAACAATTTCATGGGGTGCCTGGGTGGCTCAGTCGTTAAGCGTCTGCCTTCGGCTCAGGTCATGATCCCAGGGTCCTGGGATTGAGTCCCGCATCGGGCTCCCTGCTCAGTGGGAAGCCTGCTTCTCCCTCTCCCACTCCTCCTGCTTATGTTCCCTGTCTCACTGTGTCTCTCTCTGTCAAATAAATAAAATCTTTAAAAAAAAAAAAAAAAAACACAATTTCAGGGGCGCCTGGGTGGCCCAGTCGGTTAAGTTTCTGCCTTCAGTTCGGGTCATGATCCTAGAGTCCTGGGATCGAGCCCCTCATTGGCTCCCTGCTCAGCAGGGAGTCTGCTTCTCCCTCTGCCCCCACCCTTGTGTTCTCTCTCTCTTTCTCTCTCTCTCTCACACTCTCAAATAAATAAAATCTTTAAAAAGAAAAGAATTATTTTTAAAAATTTTCAAAATGCGAGCAGTAGGGCACTATTAAACCATCATATATTTATGATATAAGGTGATATAGAAATGGATATACTGTTACAAAATGTTTACCATAAACTTGAGAGGAAAAGAGCATGTTACAAGATGGTATACATGGTATGACCCCATTTTTGCAAAGCAACATGTATGTATCTGTATAAACATGGAGAAAATAAAAGGAAAGCTGTACTTTTTATCCTTTTTATTTTTTTTTTTTGAAGATTTTATTTATTTATTTGACAGAGACTGAGAGAGGGAACACAAGCAGGGTAAGTGGGAGAGGGAGAAGCAGGCCTCCCGCCGAGCAGGAAGCCCGATGTGGGACTCGATCCCAGGACCCTGGGATCATGACCTGAGCCAAAGGCAGACCCTTAATGACTGAGCCACCCAGGCGCCCCTATCCTTTTTATTTTTAATTGGGTAAAAGATCACTTGGTTTTTTATATTTTATCATTATAGAAAATTTGGATCATAAACACTTTGTATACTATTTTTACTTTAAAAAAGCACAAGTTGTGGGACAGGCTCAGTCGGTTAAGTGTCTGCCTCCAACTCAGGTCGTGCTCTCAGGGTCCTGGAATTGAGCCCTGCATTGGGTTCCCTGTGCAGTGGGGAGCCTGCTTCTCCCTCTGCCCTCTGCCGCTCCCCCTGCTTGTGCATGTGTGCGTGCTCTCTCCCTGTCAAATAAATAAAATCTTTAAAAATAAATAAGTAAGTAAAGAAAGAAAGCTAAATCTTAACGCATGTTCTTTTTTCCTTAAATTCCTAAATGTAGAATTGCTATGCTGATAAGTATATCTACCAGAAAGTTGTGTGCCCAACAGCATTGAGCAAGAGTGCATAATTGTTTGCTTTTTTTGATGATGTACATAACAGAACTTTGGAACTAGAAATTATCTTTAGAGGTCTTTTTATTCTAATGCCTGATTTTCTAAAAAGGTAAATTCTAAAAGGCAGGGAAGCTAGTTAGTGCTACATGAGGATCCTTTAGTGCTCTTAGTTTATAATGCCCTCTTTGTACATAATTTAGCAGTTGTTTTGTTTTGTTTTTTAGCTGTTTTAAAGTTTCATCAACATCCCTAAAACCTTCATGTGATATGTTGCTATTTATCTTTTAGGATGCCAGCAGTGAAAACACAGTGGTTCCTCCAGAGACATACGTGAAAGTAGCTGGCCATCTGAGATCTTTTCAGGTAAGGTCAGAAAACGTGCTCACTCTCTAATAAATAAATAAAATCTTTTAAAAATATATATATATTTGCATGAAGCAATTTTTGGATTCATGCCTGAGTTTAGGATACTTAAGATTGAACCAAGTCTTTCTGTTAAATGGGAATTAGATTGAAATTACTTCATTATTCTCTTCAAAGAGAAATAATGGGTTTTTAGCTTAATATAAGACTAATGGAGGGGTGCCCAGCTGGCTCAGTCAGAAGAAGAGCATGCAACTCTTGATATCCAGGTTGAGTTCAAGCCCCACATTCGGTGGAAATCTTTAAAAAAAAAAAAAAGAAGAAAGAAAGAAAAAACACACAACTAATAGAATGGTAGAGAAAGAACAGGATCCCTGCCTATAATTGCCATCAGTGGCATCCACTAGGGATAAAAGGGAGGACACTGGATTCGGAGTCAGGAGACTATACTCTGCTTGTTGTGTAACCTTGGGCAAGTTATTGAACAACTCTGAGTTGATTTTGTTTTTTTCTCCCATTAATGACTATATTAGGATTAACCTTGAGTTAAAAATTTTAAGTATATAACACATTTTTTCCATATTGGAAAAATATTATAACCCAAGACAAGTGCCACAGTGTTTTAAGCTAAGGTTGATTTGAATGTGCTCGTCTTTTATTCACATTTTTCTCTTTATTTTATTAGAACAAAAAAAGCCTTGTAGCCTTTAAGATCATGCCTCTGGAGGATATGAATGAGTTCACCACACATATTCTGGAAGTTGTCAATGCACACATGATCCTGAGCAAATCTAACAGCCAGGTGAGCAACTTTACTCTCAGTTTTTCCTCTTCTCTGGAAAAACATAGACAGCTTCTGGCTTCTCTGGCTTTGATTTTCTTGACGTTTGAAGGTTGAGCCAGAAGAAAGGCCTCACTCAGTCCTCAGAACATTTTCTTCACGAGCTTTGCCATGTTATTTTATTCCAAAGGAAGAACTCTTGTTTCTCTCAGAATTACAAGTTCCTCTAGCCCCACTGACTTGGAAGATCGAGGCCTAAGACAGCCTTCAAGTATAGACACATAATTGTAGGCTGAGTGCTTGGCTCCAGGACTGTATTTAGAGAAATATTCCAACGGGGACAGCATTTTAGTGCTTTTCTTCTAACCTGTTGGCTAAATAGGAAAAATTAGGCACCATTATTTTGTCCCTGAAGTTATCTTCCTTGCTTCATATTGAAATTTCTCAACATTATTTCCTGCTGTGTAAATTCCATTTGGCCAGTCCATCTAGGGCCACACAGAGAGTTTTTTATTCTCGTATTAGAATGTCCTTAGATTGGGGCACCTGGCTGGCTCAGTTGGTATGGTAGAGCATGTGACTCTTGATCTTGGGATTGTGAAGTCAAGCCCCATGTTGGGTATGGAGCTACTTAAAGAAAAAAAAAAAAAGTCCTTAGGTGATTCTGGTGCCCAGGTGGAGGATTACTGGTTACAGAATAGGAGAGGCTAGAGAACTCATTAGCCACTAAGGATGCTATTGCATCCTATTCTGTGCCAAACAATTGGGTAAGCACTGGGGATACAGAGAGAAATCCATTAATTTATTCCTTCCTTTGAGAAATATTTATTGAGCCTGGTATGTACCAGTCATTATTCTAGGCCCTTAGAAGGTTTCAGCTAGGGAGCAACATGGTCTGATATGTCTTTTAAAAAATTCGCTTGGGCTGGGCTGCTGTATGGAGTGTCGGTGATGAGGCACCAGGAATAGCAACAGAATTAATCTGGGAGTGGTAGCGGTAGCTGGGAGGAGGAGTGGTTGGATTCTGACGTATTTTGAAGGTAGAGTTCACAGGACTTCTTGGTGGGTTATAAATATAGGATATAAAAAGGGAGGGTTCAAAAATGACTTCTAGGTTTGGGGCTTGAACAACTGAGTGAAGCTAGCACATTTGGAGGGTAACTCCAGAGTTCTGTTCAGACTTACCAAGTGGGAGGTGCCGGGTAGATATCCAAGTGGGGAACAGGGTGGATGGTTGAATATGTAGAGGTGGCATCCGAGGGAGAGGTCAAGGCTAGAGGTGGAACTTTGGGAGTCATCGTGTAGGTGATATTTAAAGCCTCAGATGAGATGAGATAACTGGGGAGTTAAGAGATCAGAGACCGGAGTTCTGGGACATAGTAACCTTTAGAAGTCTAGAGTAAAACGGGAGCCAGTGGAAGTCAAAAAAGTTGCCAGTTGGGCAGGAGGAAACCAGGAAATGTGATTCTGTAGAATATTCTGAAAAGAGTATTTTAGGAGAGAGGAGGTGACCAATTGTAGAATGCTGCCTTGAAGTCAAGGCAGGTGATGAGAGACGTCTGCTACTGGATTTGGAAACTTTGGATCTTCAAAAGGGAGGCTTCAGTAGAGGATGAGGGAAGTGGGTTAAAAAGAACGGAATTGGGTAGAAAGTTTAGGGTGTTTATTCTATTACCATACTTAATGACACATACATGTATGTATCACATATTTCATAAATAAATGGTGGTTAGGGAGTAGAAACTGGAAATATAGACAGTTATATTGAGGAGCAAATAAAACCCCTTTCCCACAAAGAGTTTGTGTTTGAGCAGTGGAGATTCGGATCACTTAAGCAGTAAAAACAGGATAAGTGGCAAGCACAGGGTGTTGTGGAACCACAGTGAGGGGTTTCCTGTCCTGACGTGAACATCAAGAAAGACCCCTTGGAGGAAGTGATGCCTAAACCAAGTCCTAAAAGATACGTGAGGTGGGGTTACCTGAAGCAGGAGCTGATGCCCTCCAGCAGAGTATCTGGGTAAGAAATAGCATTCAGTTCAGTATTATTGGATCATAAAATGTGAGACTTCTGTTTTACCAGCAGGCCACATGAAGGCATCTAGCTTGAAAACAAGGGACCACAATTGATTTTTGTTTATTACCTCAAAGCAGTAGACATTTAATGAGCATTTATTGAATGAATGCGTCTCCTGACAGGATGGGATTTCTCCTAACGAGCTTCCACAGTGCCTTATATCTGTTATGAGTACTTAACACATTTGATGTTCTGTCATCCTTATTTATTCAGTTCAGTGGATAGAACATTGAGCACGTACTGCACCAGGCACTGTGAAAATGGAGGAGCTTGTGGCGGAAAGTGCCAGGCGAACAGTGTGATGGCTGCTGTGAGAGCCAAGGACGAAGAACATGGCTGACTTGGCTTGGGGCATGTTGGAAAGCTCTGCAAAGGCAGTGGCAATTAAGTTGGACATTGAAGGATGAGAAGTCAGTGTTTACCAGGCAGTTGAGGGGAGGAGCATTTTAGACAGGGAACATGTTCAAGGCAGAGGCATGTTTGTAGTTGGCAAGAAGTCCAGGTGCAGCTGGGGAGTAAAGTGTGTCGAGAAGGAACAGTCAAGAATAAAACAAGATTTTGACATCTAGTTGTGGTAGGTCTTGAATGTCTAGGTTTATATTTTCACCGGCAGGGGGAGCCACCTGAAAGCTTTCCAGCCAGAGGAAGGACAAGATCCAAAGCTATTAATGTGGTAGCAAAGAGGGAGGTTGACTGGAGTAGAAGAGACTAGCAGCTGAAATGCCATCGGGAGGCCAGGGTGAGGAAGAGGGACTTGAGATACACTGAAGCTTGTGTGATAGGCTGTGGTGACAGACTGTGGGAGGTGAGTGAATGGACTCACAGATGACTGAAGTCTGCAGGATTGGGTTAGCTTTACTCACTGAGGTGGGATAGAGCAGGGCAAGCAGGTTTGGGGAGGGTCGTAATCTTACTTCAGAGTGTGTGAGAGAGCGAGGTGGACGTATCCAGGCCAGAGCTGGGAACAAGAATTTGTGGCCCAGGAAGAGGTCTGGGATGGAATCCTGGGGGAGCTATCAGTCTTTTGGGAGATAGGTAGAGAGAAAAGCTGGTAAGGGATACTGAGAAGGTAGAGTTTGAGAAGTAAGTGGAGAACAAGAAGAACATGCTATCAAGAAACCTAGGGAGCGGTGGGTACATTTGAAGAGTGTGGTCAGCGTGTCTTTCTGAGAGGTCGTGTTAGGACTGAAAGAGACTGTTGGATATATTGGTTGAAAAGTCATTGGTGACTTCGGTGAGAACAATTTCAGAGGTATATTCAGTGAGAGTGCAAATATAGTGGGCTCTGGGGAGTGACTAAGAAGAAAGGAAATGGAAACAGTGATTATAGTCTGTTGTTAAAAGTTTGGTAATAAAAAAAGAACAAAGAGTGATGGGAACTGTTTTTTTTTCTCTCATTGTCATGCTTCATGCCTAGGTGACAGTAAGTGCCTGAGTGGGGGGGGGGGGTGAGTGAAATGGGTGAACACTTATGGTGAGCATCCGGTAATGTATAGAATTGTTGAATCACTATGTTATACACCTGAAACTAATGTATATAATGTTGTGTCAACTATATTTCAATAATAAAACTTTTTAAATAATAATAAAATCAGGAACAAGGTAAGAATTCCCAAAAATAAATAAATAAATGAGTGAGCGAGTGCATGTTTGAATAATAAAGCACCAAGGATAGATACCATTATAGCAAATCTCCAGGTAATTTTCTTCTTGATACTAGTTTTCCTCTGATTCCCCTCAACAGCACAAAAACAAGAAGGAGCTAGGAGGTATCTTTCTCTCTGTTTGATAATATATGCTTCAGAGAATCACTTTATCTTCCTTAGAAATTCTCGTTAATGATGATAGTTGCTCCTTCCAATGTAAACAATTGTTATTGGGAAAACGGCTTAAATTATTTTTGTGAGCTGCTTATTGACAGGCTATAACACAATAACAAAGACTGTGTTTAACTTGGTAATTTTTCTGATGCTGTGAACTTCTTTCTTAATTCAGCCCCCAGCAGGGAGAGCATCTATCAGCAATCCAGGAATGGGTGAAACAGGGAACTTTGGTGGGAATAGCTCCATGCCAGCAAATGGCCTCACTGTGGCCCAAAACCAGGTAAACACTGAGTGGCTCCAGAAATTCAAGACACAGTCTTAAATTTGTCACTTCCTTAATGATTCTAAGGCTAAGGACCTGACTCATTTCTTTCTTATCAAGGGACTCAGGTTTAGGGGCGCCTGGGTGGCTCAGTTGTTAAGCATCTGCCTTTGGCTTGGGTCATGGTCCTGGGGTCCTGGGATTGAGCCCCGCATCGGGCTCCCTGCTCGGCGGGAAGCCTGCTTTTCCCTCTCCCATTCCCCCTGCTTGTCTTCCCTCTCTCGCTGTGTCTCTGTCAGGTAAATAAATAAAATCTTTATAAAAGGCTGGGGGCAGGGGGGGACTCAGGTTTACATAAGGGAGTTGATTTAGAGTAGTTGCTCAAATCTTTCTCATTGGAATCTTCAGGTGCTGAATTTGATTAAGGCTTGTCCAAGACCTGAAGGATTAAACTTTCATGATCTCAAGAACCAGCTCCAACACATGACTGTAGCCTCAATAAAGTGAGTATTTGGTTTCCATCAGCTGGGGCTCCAGAATTGGACCCATTTTACCTTAGCAGGGTTTCGTGGTGATGAGAAGTGAATTACAAATAAAAATAAAACTGTCAGCTGCCATCTTTATTGATGGAAGGGAGGTTGTCCGGTCATGGAAAGATAAAAAAGGACTCACAAAGGTGATGCTGACTGTCACGTCACTGACTCAGTCGTTCATTTAACAAGTCATGATTCCTGTTATGTGCAGGGGATGTAATTTTGAACAAAATTGACCAGATAAAATTTGACCTCTTGTGGAATTCAGTGTGGAGGAGTGAGATCCTTCGCTCCTGGCCCTCAGGTGTACAGTCCCATTGGTGTTACTGTTTCCACTGTGGAGATGTGCATTTGTTTGTCTGGACCTGAAACCTTATCGGTCCTTCCGACATCCTTCCGATTCCCTGGTAGACGAGCAGCTTCCTGATTCCGATGAGCCAGTCAAACAAGCTTGAGTATTTTGGTGCTTTTGATAGTTACTTGTTACTGTAAATCAGTTGATATTTTAGGTTCCCATAGAAAAGAAAAGCTCAGGTCTAATTTCATTTCCTGTTTTATAAAATGAAGATATTAATTCCTATCCAAAGGATTAATTCCCAGAGATCCAGTGATGATGAGGTACAGAAACACTGTCACATAGTAGTTGCTCTATAAATTATTACTGTTATTAAAAATAATAATAAAATAAAAAATAAATATGTTAACTGTTATTAAATTACTGTTAGTAAACATTATTAAATATGTTAGACTGATCCTGAAGGTCTTGAAGGGTTTGAAGGTGTCCTCTCATTTCTGTCCTGCATTCCTTTCCTTTACATCCTACAGCTTTACTTCCCAGAGGGTTGGTGGGTGGGTAAGGAGAAGAAACTTTGAAAAATAGCTGTTTATGCTAGGAGTTTCATGTGCAAGCTGGACTGCATTTTTAGATGCTTGTTTCAATTTGCTTAGACTGGCATTTGAGTTAGGCTCTATTTTCTGGCCTTTACACAGTTTGGGACAGGGGTCCAAGGCAGCTCTGATAGCCATAGTCTCCATGCATGATCTCACTTTTGCAGTTTTACTGGCACTTCGCCCTGTAAGAGCCCTCTGTGAGCAAAATGGCTGTGACTTCTTAGCAAAGTAGAGAGTGGGAAGTGAGCAAAATCTATGTTTGGCCATATCCAGAAGTCTGTTTCCTTTCTTCTGCATTGGTTTGAAAATGAGCCTTTTTTTTTTCCTTCTCTTTCTAGGCAAGCTGTGGATTTTCTTAGCAACGAGGGACACATTTATTCCACTGTGGATGATGATCATTTTAAATCCACAGATGCAGACTAACTGGATCTAATTGAGTACCCAAGGCATTTTCCAGCTGGACCTGTTTTCCTAAACTGTTGTCTCCAACTATGCATCTGTTTGGCCAATGGATTTCTAGGGAGTAGGTTTCATCTAGAAAGGGTCTCATTTAACATCCTTTTGAAACTTATGGCTCTTCTGGCTTTTTGTTTGTTGAAGCTCAATTTTGGGCACTTGACAAGAATGTAAACCTGGGTGGACTTTTCTTAAGTTACAAATCGGGGCGCCTGGGTGGCTCAGTCAGTTAAGCGTCTGCCTTCAACTCAGGTCATGATCCCAGGGTCTTGGGATTGAGCCCCAAGTCAGGCTTCCTGCTCAGCAGGGAGCCTGCTTCTCCCTCTGTCCCTCCCCCTGCTTGTGCTCTCGCTCGCTCGCTCTCCCCCCATCAGATAAATAGCTAAACTCTTAAAAAAAAAAAAAAGTTACAAATCAGCTGTCTACAACGTTAGGACAGATGGAAGTGGGAGAACTCTGCTACTGATAGAGTTGAGCGGTTATTACTTAAAGAACAGTCAGGAGCTTCTGCTCCTGTCATATTCCCTGTGGAGAGAAGATGAGCAGGACTAGGGCCTTCAGCAGGGAGCTAGCCAAGAAACCCACTAACCTCTGCCTGGTTTTGTTCCCCCCTTTAGTTGGTTACATGGTGTTATCTTCAGAATTGTGCTTTCCTTCACCTTGTCATGACTGCTGCCGAACGTGTGTTTTTGTGAAGTTCTAGAGTGGTAGCCTCATGAGGGCAGAGGGGAGAAAGATGTTCTTTCAATTTCATACCAAAAAGTTCATCCCTGTGTTTAATAAAAGCTCTATTGTAGAATGTGTGAAAATGTTATTTTTCTTCCTAAGCTGGTATAATTACTACTTTTATCATCTAAGGCGTGTAGCATAGGTTGACTTGGGTTTGAAATCCTGGCTTTCCCCTTTTAGTTAGGATCTTTTTTTTTTTTCAGAGCTTTTATATTTGAGTTTATTCTTCATTTAAAACACTACTATAGTTGAATATTAAAACAAAAACAATAGCAAGTAGTGAGCTATGATTATAGTCCTTCACTCATTCACTACTGCATATAAAATGCCAGCAGTGTTTTTCACTGGCCCCATTAAGAGGTCTGACACTGAACACCACCCCTGGGATGATGTTCATCATCCTCATAGGCTTCCCCATTGTAATGGCGCCGTCTTTCCTGATTTGGATCAAAGTCCACCAGTTCTACCTGGTCCATTTCATCAGTCTCTTCTACTTCCTTCCTCTCAGGTAGGAGTTTTTCCAGCAAAGAAAGTTTATCAGGAGAGAGAAAGCCATTCTCAGGAAAGTTTACCTTAAATTCAATGATAAGGCGACCCTTCTCATATGGTCTACGATAAATTGGCATGCCTTCATTTAGCACACACTTGATATCTCCATGCTTGACAATTTGACCTAGGTGAGAGGTGATGACGACGGTTCGGTTGTCAAGAGTAGATATTGGCTTTTGAAAGCCACACAGTGCTTCAACCAGCTGTATGTCCATACACATGAAGAGGTCTTCTCCTCGCCGAGTAAAAACAGCGTGGTCCTTCTGATCTAAAACAATGATAATATCTCCTGGTTCCAGTCCTGGTTCTTGGTCTCCTTCACCATGGAATGTTATCTTCTGGCCGTCCTTCATGCCTTTGTCAATATGAACTTCTAGAATCTTCTTCTCTCGAACTATCTTCCTCCCATTGCAGCTTTTACATCTGTCTTTGGGACTGATCCGTTCCCCATGGCCCTGGCACTCCATGCACACAGACTGAATTTGCTGAACCATTCCAGGTCCTATCTGATGAATTATTTGCATTCCAGTACCTCGGCAATTGGGACAACATTCGACTGCTCCTTTCTTACCACCTCGGCCTTCACATTTATCGCAAATCACATTCTTTTGCAGAGCTAGTTTTCGTGTTGCACCATTATATAAATCTTCTAAGGTTACTGAGAGCTGATGCACAACATTTTTACCTCTCCTTTCTCTCTGCATCCTTCCTCCTCCTCCAAAAAACATATCAAAGATGTCCATGGGGGAGCCAAAACCACCACCAGCTCCACCTTCTTTAATTGCCTGTTCTCCTCCTTTGTCCTATAATTCCCTTTTCTTTGCATCAGAGAGTACTTCGTAAGCTTGAGAAATCTGTTTAAACTTCTCTCCTTCATTTGGATTCTTATCAGGGTGGTACTTCAAGGCCAGTTTCCTGTAGGCCTTTTTCAATTCCTCTTGGGTGGCATTGGGTTTGACCCCCAAAACATCATAGTAAGTGGTTTCTTTCACCATTTTCTACAGCCGGTGAGAGGGCCGAGGCCGGTGTGGGGGAGCGGGAAGGGGCGCGTTGCTGGGCGCATCTCGGGCAGCCGCTGCTGCTCCGCGTCCCACCGAGCGTTCTGGAAAGTTCCGCCCCCTTTTAGTTAGGATCTTGAGCAGGCTATGTCAGCTCTGAGGACTTCCCATTTCCCTATTTATGAAGACAACTATATCATTTCTTCATAGGTGTGTTGTGAAAATTGAGTAAAACAATGTTTGCAAAGCATCTAGCATTGCCATTGGTAGATAGAAAGTGGACCTTAATCTTGACTCTAGCAATATGTGGTCACATAACTGAATTGATAACCTACCGTTTTACCTCAAGAATGAGACTGTCTAAGGGCGCCTGGGTGGCTCAGCTGGTTAAGCGTCTGCCTTCAGCTCAGGTCATGATCCCAGGGGCCTGGGATCGAGCCCCGAGTTGGGCTCCCTGCTCAACGGGGAGCCTGCCTCTCCCTCTCCTTTTTCCCTCTGCCCCTCCCCCTGCTCTTGTGTATACTCTCTCTTGCTCTTTCTCACTCTCTCAAATAAAATCTTTAAAAAAAAAGATGAGACTGTCTAAAGGCCTACAGCCTTTGGCCAGTGTAATCAGTTGTTTCTTAAGGAAGAGCAAACTACTTCAAAGATGTTTTTTGACAACTCCAGAATGTAAGCTATGTCTTGAAGAAGAGAACTAATTCTGAGGTAAGTTAATGAGGTGTAACATGCAAATAAAAATTCTATAACTGCTTTAACCGTGTTTGAAAATGAAACCTACCAGCAGCCATGTGGAAAATGCCCCACCCTCCGGTTTCTAAAAGTGAACAAGTCTGGTTGTTGTTTCTGTACCTAGAGTGGTTCCTATCCAGGGAGCTAGATTGTTGCTTAAAAGTCAGTCAACCAGGATGTTTATCTGCAAGTCTGTCCATTCTTCATTATTTTCTGAAAGAAAAGGCACTGGCTAAAAACGGGTTAAAAAATCATGTATTTGGGCGCCTGGGTGGCTCAGTTGGTTAAGCGACTGCCTTCAGCTCAGGTCATGATCCTGGAGTCCCGGGATCGAGTCCCACATCGGGCTCCCTGCTCAGCGGGAGTCTGCTTCTCCCTCTGACCCTGCCCCATCTTGTGCTCTCTCTCTCTCAAATAATATTTTTAAAAAATATATATTCTAGGGGCGCTTTGGCACAGTTGGTTAAGCGTCTTGACGCAGTTTCGGCTCAGGTCATGATCTCTCGGTGGTGGGATTGAGCCCCCGCGTCGGGCTCTGCTCAGTGCAGAGTGTGCTTGGGTTTCTCTCTCCCTCTCCCTCTCCCTCTGCTCCTCCCCGCCTCGCATGCTTGCTCACTCTCAAAATAAATCTTTTTTTAAAAACCATACATTTGAATTTGGAATGCATGATAGGACAGGTTTATGAGTGGTTGACATCTCTGGTTCTCAGGCTAGCGCTCGCCAATGGGTGAGGCAATAGCAGTGATTCTGCGTAGAAGTCTTTTAGGATTCAGCAATTACAAACTACTTAATTCAAGTATTTGTTGAATACCTCCCGTGGCAGCCCATTGGTCAAATACTAGAAATACAAAACGCCAGGTCATGTCCCTGGACTTGCTGGTTCTGTGTTGCCAGTAGCACCGAGTGGCGGCTCTGCGGTGCGGAATTCCCTGCCAGCTTGGCATTTACACGGCCTCCCAGGAGCTGTGTATTTTCTGAGCACAGGCAGGCCCTCCTCAGCAGAACGAACCCAGCCTTCTGGAGCCTCTGCCTGCCAGAGCAGGAGGCTCTTGCATTCATGGTGTTCGTGCCCACCTGGGATGTCAAGTATACGGTATTCTCGCATGTCTGTTAAGACAGCAGGAGCAGCAACACAACCCATGTTCTCAGAAACCCCCAGGGTCACAGCCAAGCAATGAATCCAGCTTGTTCTCAGGAGAATCTCTAGGTATACTGGTGGGAAATTAGGCTCCTTGGTTAATAGTAGTACTTCATCAGGTTTAACTAGAGAAGGTAAGAATTAGTGTCTGATGTGGATGAATAAATCTGGGTGTTGTTTTTTTTAAGATTGATTGATTGATTTTAGAGTGTGTCCATGCATGTGTGTGAGCAGGGGGAGGGGCAGAGGGAGAGAAATCCTCAAGCAGACTCCCCACTGAGCGAAGAGCCTGATACAGGGCTTGATCCCAGGACCCCAAGATCAGGACCTGAGCCAACATCAAGAGTGAGATGCTTAACTGACTGAGCCACCCAGGAGCCCCTGAATAGATCTTTTATTAAAAAAATGCAGTTGAGCAGGACGCCTGGGAGGCTCAGTCGTTAAGCGTCTGCCTTCGGCTCAGGTCATGATCTCAGGGTCCTGGGATCGAGTCCCACTTCAGGCTCCCTGCTCAGCGGGGAACCTGCTTCTCCCACTGCCTGCCGCTCCCCCTGCTTGTGCTCGTGCTCTCTCTCTGACAAATAAAATCTTTAAAAAAACAAAAATGCAGTTGAGGGAGGGCTATCTGGCTGGCTCAGTCGGTGGAGCATATGACTCTTGATCTTGGGGTCATGAGTTTGGGCCCCACATTGGGTGTAGAGATTACTTAAGAAAAAAAAAACCTGGGGCGCCTGGGTGGCTCAGTCGTTAAGCGTCTGCTTTCAGCTCAGGTCATGATCCCAGGGTCCTGGGATGGAGCCCCGCATCGGGCTCCCTGCTCAGCGGGAAGCCTGCTTCTCCCTCTTGTGTTCCCTCTCTCGCTTTCTGTCAAATAAATAAAATCTTAAAAAAAAAAAAAAACTTGAGGGCGCCTGGGTGAGCGTCTGCCTTCGGCTCAGGTCATGGTCCCAGGGTCCTGGAATTGAGCCC